CTCTCTCTCTCTCTCTCTCTCTCTCTCTCTCTCTCTCTCTCTGCATGCTCCCCATGAATCATAGGTCTCCTTTCAGTGACATCTCTGACACATGACAAGCCTAGTTGGTTTCCTGGTTCAAGGAAGAAAGCTGCTTAATGCCTGTACTCTATCTTTGACTGTAAAATGATAACCAGGATGCTAAAGACTCTGCTTGCTGGAACTGAAACATAGCCTTCCCATTCAATGACATCCTCACCAGATTCCTGTTTTCCATGGTTTCCTTCAAGGTCAAAACTTGGCTGTACTAGAATTTACACTGTACATCTGATGGATATCACACTCAGAGTTCCACCTGCCTCTGAATCTGCAGTGCTGTCATTAAAGCATGCACCAACATGCCAATCTCTATTCTGTTCTGTAATTTGTTTTCAAAACTTGGAATCTACTCTGTGTGATCTTGACCTAAGGTTAGCATACATTTTATTCCACCTCATTTATCTCCGGGAACCCAGTACTCAGTTTCATTCTACTTGTTGGTGCTACTTTGCTCCTCACAGTGTACGTTTTATATTTATTATGCTCACGTGGCTCCCTTTCTTATTAATCTTTATTGGAATGAACAGTAGATAATAAATAACAGTGTTTGTACAGACTGTTTTGAGATTTCATTTGCTTATGGAATTAATCCAAAATTCTTCAATTTGGTATCACACAAACTCTTCAGACAAGGGCAAAACTATCTACTTCCTCCATCAAAATATCACAAGTTTATGTCTAAACCACATCCAAAAATTATTTTCCTGATATTTCTTGAGCCAGGTCCCAGAGTTAAAATCTTCCAGACTCTTAATATTATGACTGACATAGCAATACTTTTTTATTAGAAGCAATCTTCTTCTACATGTAAATCCCAGTTCCCTCTCCCTCGTCCAAACCACCCAATATCTCAACCCCTTTCTGTTCCCGAATGAGGATGAGGTCTTCCATGGTGTATCTTCAAAATCTGTCATATCATTTGGAGCAAGGCTTCGAAACTCCCCTGTGTGTCTAGGCTGAGAGAATATTCCTGTATGTGGAGGGGCCTAACAAAGGCCATTGATATACTAGGGATAAATACTGATCCATTAACAGTGGCCCCATAGATTGCCTAGAATTCTAAACTGACATCCTCAATCAGGGGATCTGGAACAGTCCTATCCTGGTTTCACAGCAATCAGTCTCTGGTTCATGAGCAACTCTTTGTTCAGGTCAGCTGTCTCTATGGGTTTATCCAGTCTTATCCTAGCCCCTTTGCTCAAGGCTCCTCCCTCTCTGAAACTGGTTTCCAGAACACCGCTCAATGTTTAGCTGTGGTTGTTCACCTCTGTTTCTGTCAGCTACTAGATGGAGGTTCTAGGATGGCATATGAGTTAGTCATCAATTTCATTATTGGAGAAGTGCATTAAAGTTAGCCTCTCAACCACTGCTTAGATTTTTAGTTGGGGGACACACTCTAAGATCTCTGGAAATTTACCTAGTGCCAGAATTCTCTTTAAACCTATAATGACTGACTTTATTACTATATCTCTTTTCTAGATCTCCTCAATTCTTCTCCTGACTAAAACATCCTGCTGTCTCATGTCCTCCTCTGGCCACCTCTTCTCCCCCTCTCTTTCAGCTAGGTTCCTCTGCCCTCCCCCATGCTTCCAATTAGCTCAGGAGATCTTGTCCCTTTCCCTTCTTTGGGGGACCATGCATGTCCCTCTTGGGGTCCTCATTGTTTCCTTTCTTCTCTGGTGGTGTGGATTGTATGCCTTTATTCCTTTGATCTATGTCTAAAATCCATATATGAGTGGATACATATGTTTTTTGTCTTTATGTGACTGGGTTACCTCAGTCAGGATGGTTTTGTATAGTTCCATCCATTTTCCAGTGAATTTCAATAATTCGTTGTTGTTTTTTTTTATTTTTTTCCCATAAAGAGTAGTACTCCATTGTGTAAATGTACCAAAATTTTCCTTCCATTCATCAGTTGAGGGACATCTAGGTTGCTTCCAGGTTCTGACTGTTACAAACAATACTGCAATATACTTTGAACAGATGTCCTTGTTGCAGGAATGTGCATGTTTTGGCTATATGCCTAAGAGTGGAATTTGCTAGGTCTTATGGTAGACTGATTCCCATTTTCCTGAGGAACCCCCAAACTGATTTCCAAAGTGGCTGTACAAGTTGGCACTCCCACCAGCAGTGGAAGAGTGTTTCCCTTTCTCCACATCCTCTCCAGCATAAGCTACTATTGATATTTTTGATTTTAGCCATTTTGAACGGAGTAAGATGGTGTCTCCAAATTGTTTTGATTTGCATTTCCCTAATGGCTATGTTTCTTTCAGCCATTTTTGATTCCTCTATTGAGAATTCACTATTTAGTTTTGTACCCCGATTTTTAATTTAGTTGGTGTTTTGGTGACTAGTTTCTTGTGTTTTTGAATGTTTTGGAAAATAGCCCTGTGAATAGACTAATAACTACAATAGAATATACACAGAGAGACATATATGGAAACATACTACACACATGTAACAGCCATATATATCCTTGTTTGTTCTGTGTTGATATTCTTAATTTGATCATGGTAAATATTATTTATTTCCTCATGTTTAAATATGAATTTTGAAGTTAGGTATTCTCTGACTCTTTTTCTCCTCTCTTTTTATTTAAATTAGAAACAATTTTGCTTTACATGTCAATTCAAGTTCCCTCTTACTCCCCAACTCCCCAGCTCCCCACCAGCCTATTAATACTTCTTTTTTCTGTTCTCCAGGAATCATGAGGCCTTCCATGGGGTAATCTTCAAACTCTGTCATATTATTTTGATCAGCGACTAGGAACTCCCTCTGATATCTGGGCTGAGAGAGTATTTCTCTATGTGTAATGGGCTCTCAAATTCCATTTTCAAACTAGGGATAATTACAGTTCCACTATCACAGGCTCCATAGACAGCCCAGGTCTTCTCACTGACACCCAAGTTCAGGGCATCTGGTCAGTCCTATGCTGTTTTCCCAGCTATCATTCTGGGGTCCCATGTTCAGATTAGCTGCTGTTGTGGATATCTCTAGCATGCTCTTGACCCCTTTACTCATCATTCCACCCTCTCTACAACTGGATTCCAGGAGTTAATCTCAATATTTAACTGTGGGTGTCTGCTTCTGCTTCCATTAGCTATGGGATGAAGGCTCTATGGTAGCATACAAGGTAGTCATGAAGAAAATGTTTTATGTTTGCACAACGGAGTACGAATCAGCAAGGAAAAGCAATGGAACCTTGAAATTTCCATATAAATGGGTAGAAATAGAAGAAAGCATTCTGAGTGCATTAACCCAGTCACAAAAAGACAAATATTAGACATAGAGAAAAGGATCACCATCCTATAATCCACACGGCCAGAGCATCTTGGAAGCAAGGAGGAGACTAAGAGAGACATACATGTTTTCCTGGAGAAGGTTAAAGGAATAAGATCTCTTGAGTAAATTGAGAGCATGGTGGGTGGTGAGAGGGAGTTAGGAAAAAGAGAAGGGGAGAAGAGGAGGGGAGAGGAGGACATGAAGAAATAGAAAGATTAAGTCAGGAGAAGAATAGAGGAGAGCAAGAAAAGCGATAGTAGTATAGAGTGAGCTACTATAGTTATAAAGAGAAATCTGGCCCTAAGGAATTGTCCAGATATTTATGAGAATGACCGTGTCTAAGAATATAAACACTTTCTGACTTTTTCACCATTTAAAATATGGAATTTTGTTAAAAGATTGATATTTATGTGAAGAGGAATATATATGATGCATGTTAATTTGTCAATACAGATTTGTGATTATTACTTTTCATTGCTGATATAACTGTGAGGGTGGTTCTGGGAGGTTCAACTAAGGACAGAAAAGCCACTTTAAATCAAGGTAATACCATCTCACAGATTGGTGTAGATCTTAAAAGAAAGGGCAAATAAAAAAAATGAACTGAACAGACATTCTTCTCTTTACTTACTATGAACTCAACAGTAACATATACCATATGCTCCTCTCACCACAACTCCATCTGGGAATGACATACTGAGATTTGCTAGG